CCCACCGCGTCACCGGGGGGAGGGCCAGGGTGTTGACAGGGAGCCACACCTGTCACCACAATCCTCGCCTAACAAGAGAGCGGAGCCGCACGCCCCCGGATAGGCAGGCACCTGCCCCAGCTCCCAAGGCGAAGCCAGCCGAGGCCGAGGCAGATCTGACAGACGCTGTCACAAGCCCGGCGGAGGAGGTGAAAGAGGAGTCTTCGGAATCCAAAGAACCTCCCCCAAAGCGTGCCGCGGCTTCTTCGGCTGCAAAAGAGGGGGGCTCGACCCACCCGGGCCAAGAGCAAAGCCAACCCTCAGCCGTGAAAGGGGGCCCGTCCCACCCTGGAAGTGCCCAGAGCAATCCAGCCGGCCAAAAGGGGAGTCCGACTCACCCAGAAAGTGAGCTCCAGCTCAGGGGTTTCGACGACAGTTATGCCTTCCTTGGAATAGGGGGCAGCCGGGCAACCTTCGAATGCCCGGGAAATCCCGCCTTATGCTGGAAACTGACTTCCAGCGAGCATGACCCTAGGGCAAGTGATCCCCGGGATATGCTCAGGCAAGACCCGGGAGGTGGGCCCTGGAATCCTCCAAGTTGGTACATGGGGCACGGTGCCTGTGACCATCTTGGAGGTGGAACGGCTAAGCCCAATGTACCAGGAACCATCGAGTGCAAGGATCTTGCACATGGCGATGGTTATCCTGGGGGTCAGCTGTGCGGGCATGCTGTGCCGCGATTTAAATCGTGGCAACTGGGGCATCCGAAAGATGTCACCAGATTCCTGCGTGGAGGAGATCGTCGTCATCGACGCCGCAGATTGGGAGCCACAATCTGCGCCACCAGGCTTTACTCCGAGGAGGAAGCTTGAAAGTTGGTGGAACTGGATCCACCGCAGTGATCCCTCAACAGCAGAATGGTTGAGGGTGCAAGTGGAATCCCTGCACCGAGACCACCGGGCATTGGCTCGCACTTTGGTGGAGGAACTTAGCCGGAGCGATGCTGGGCAATGGGTGGTGGCTTCACTCCATGCTCAGCGAGTTCTTTGCTTTTCCCCCAGAGATGAGATCTGCTTACTCAGGTCGAGAGCCAATGTCTTCACCAGTGGAGACTGGGAACTCCTCAGCCTCAAGGACCCACCTCAAGAAGGGGGCTGAGGGAGGTGGTCAAAGACCAGCAGAGCCCACCTAGGCAGGGGGCACAAGGAGGTGAACAGCTGAGGCCATGGCCGGCTTCCTTTCCTCACCGGCACCGGGAGGCATAGGGCCAAATCCTGAGGCTGCTTCAACCTCGCCAGCAAAAGCCTGGGAGGAGGGCTAGACTAGGTCCGAAGTAGCTCCTCCGGCAACCTCCCAACGGAGATCGGGAGGAACGGGGGCTAGGAGTAGGCCTAGCGGAGGACGCCTTAAACAAGGCCGCCCTCCTCCTTTTGCTGTCAGAGTACAGCCCAGACCGAACTTGCCGCTCCGGCGGCCGCGACTCAGAGCGCAAGACCGAGAAAATCCCAGTTGACCTTGGATGTCCTGATGTTTTCGGCAAGTGTTTTCTGCGTTCACTTCTGTTCAGCCGCCAGCGCCTGGGAGCAAGTCAAACTCAGGACAGGCTAGGCGCAACGTGGTGACTCACAACGCGTCAGCATCCTCCCAATGCTGGCCCCGACGGGCATTCCAGGGACTCCTCTTGCTATGGGGTGCCCTTGAGGGCCTAGAGGGGCTATCCTCTCTTGAGGGGGAGGCCTCTCGGGGGCCGCCGGGCCAGACTTGTCTACAAGACAAGGCGCAGATTGGGACACTGGGGACTCAGGTTCAGCAGAGTTGGCCAACGTCTTCAGTTCCAGCACGGTGTCTACCTGGTACGGCTCCACGTCACATCTGGGTACAGTCGTTAAGCGGACGCGCTTGCTGTGCTATGGGTGTCGGGCTACGGCTACGGCCCTCCCAGGTGTGTTCGTTACTGTCCTGTTACCGACGGGGTCAGGCAGTGCTAGGAGTGACGGCCCACGTGTTTTTGCTTGACGACGAATTATCCTTACGGCCCATCGCTGGTAGTCGGGAGTTACCTAGTGTGGGACGCCACTAGACGGGAACTCTGGGAGACGGCTCTTCTGAGTACGACCCACCGGCTGCCAGTTCGTGAGTATTGGACGCAATGACTCACACTGAGGGTGACGGAGGCTACATGACGACGACTTTGTGAGTCGGGCTGTCACGTTAGGAGTTTCGGGCATCGCTCGCGTAAAAAACGGGCAACGCCTTTGTAACTGAAGTCAACTTCTTGTGGCCTATCCCCTAAAGGCTGGTGCCCAAGAGCTGTTGCTGCTGTGTACAGTCTGCAGCGCTGCTCTTCTTGACTTAGGCCCTTTCTCTTTTAACGTTTGTAGCATCGGCTCCTCTTTTTCCTTCACTGAGGATCCTATAGGGGTTGCAGGGGTTGCGCGGTCTTCTCTGTTGGTTTTGTTAGGTCAGTTCGTTTCGGCTTGTTTTACGCGAGGCCTCGGGGCCTGACTTCGGTCGTAGTTCTCAGAAACGGATGAAGGAGGTACCTGCGATTCTCGCATGGGCAGTCCCCTCGCGCAAAGCGCCAGTCTGTTTCTTTTTCTTTACAAGGCCGCCGGGCGAAGACCGCGCCACCTCTATAAGAATGTCGGCAGGTCAGATTCTAAGGGAGTGGTGCTGGCTTATGGCTCACCTCGGTGGCGCTGGCTCACGGCACACTCGGGGATGGCACGCTTCCGAAGTTTCTGCTCGCCCGCAATGAGCAGAGCCCGCTCGCTCAGCGTCCAATAATAATAATGGTTGTTGTTCTTGTCGTCGTCGTCGTAATAGTACAAGTGCTGCTGCAAGTAGTCGTCATCGTACAGGTAGTAGTTAGTAGTAGTCGTCGTAGTCATATTGGCGGCAGCAGCAACAACACCAAAAAGAGTGGCAATACTACTACTGCTAGTAGTTGCAGTACTGGAACTATAGTGGAGTCGTTGCCGTCGTCGCGCTGGGATGCATATTTCGTCCCCACGTTCTACTGCTTGCAGCGGATCCGTGCCCGCTGTTCTGACGACGGAGCACGTTTTGTTTACAAAAAAGCCGCGAACAGCAGCTGCAGGCAGGATCACCTTAAACCCTGAGACGCAGTAGTACTTGGAGAGTTGCAAGTGTAGCGCGCAGCATCAGTTTTCCGGCCTTGACCGCCCGGGTTCGGGATTTTGTTTATTGCCGTGACAGCGCATAGTCGCTTTATATTTTGAAAGTGATCCGTTTTGATTTTTTTGATCCTGAAATTTGTATTTTGTTTTTAATCCTTATATTTTTTTTGATCCGGCAGCCGCCTGATGCAGGGTTCACGAATTTCACTGGAAATGGTTCGCTGCAACGGCCGGTGAATGGGAACCACAGCCTTCGAAATAGCCTGCCCGTAGACCATTCGGTGTTTATGGGCCAGCTCCTTCTTGTTGGCCCGGCCAGGGATCATGCAGTGACATGTATCAGCGGAGGACGCTGTGCCGCCAGGGTTCGTGGGCTTCATCTCAGACTTCATGGCAGTTCTGGACACCTGTGGTGTCAGCACGTCTTCACAGCAGCTCGCCGCCATACAACAGTTGTAATTCACGGGCTCACAGGCCGTGCTTGTGGATTGGCCCAGCACCTCCATGAAGATTGAGGGCGGCCAATATCGCCTGTGCTGGTGCTCCGGGCTGGGGCGAACAGCCACTTGGGCCAACGTCTCCAACACATCGCAGCCCTCACACCCCTGCGACTCCGCTCAATCCTTCCGGGTAGATGCGTGGTCCCAGACCCTTCGGACGTGTCTTGTGGGAAGACCATGTCTTCTCACAGAGCTGGATTGGCAGTCTTCGGGTTGCCGATGGCAGTCTCTCACAGAGCCTCCGGGAGGAGATGTCTGTCGTGTTCACCCGCCTGTGCCGGTGCGCAACGCCTCGGAGCCCGAACACGACGGCATGTTCAAACCCCTTCGAGTTCACAGTGGATGCCGGCGAAGTTTCGGTGTTGGGACCGTCGCAGTTCAGGACCTGTGCGAGTGGACTGCGCTGCGCCTTGGAAGGTCTGCTCGGCACCGGACTTGACGAAGACGATCGGGTGCTGGTTATGGACACCTGCGGCAGTCCCAACGTGGTGCCCTTGTTTCCCTCAGCAGGTCTTTCTCAGGAAGTTGGCAGCAGTGGGGCTTACGTTTCCTGCGGGAATGCTGTCATCACTTCGAAGGGTGGAGCATATAGACTGTGCTGGTGTAGTCGAGATTTGAACACCAGCTATTCGGAAAATGCGTCTGACCCAGAGTGCAGCGTGCCAACTGCATTTGGAGTCGACTTCGGCACGCCTGTGCTCCGTGGACCTGCAGAGCTTGCAAAGCCACTTTACTGCATTTTGGGTGACGATTGCGTCATGCAGCCTGTTTCTGGCATGTACACCAGCGCTTTGGATTGGGTTCGTGTGCTGGACACATGCGGCATCCCTGCACGGCAACCTGCATACCAAGCGGCCATCTCGCCGAGTGATGGCATGAAGCAAGTCTTTGGAGCCGAGAAGCGTGATAGTTCCAGCTCGAATGAGACTAGTTTCCTTGTCATAAACACTTGCGGTCAGTCTGGCGCTGTCCAGGGCGCATTCAGCAATCCTGCAGTTTTGTCGTCAGGAGCAGCCGTGCAATGATCGGCTGAGCCAGTAACAGGCATGGCTGTGCTGGTGTGGAGCTGCCATGAACTCGAGGAACGCCACACAAGGTCGATGTGATTCTAGCTCGAGCTTCAAAGTTAATTTCGGCGGGTTGATCATGCGGGGCCCATCGCCACTGTCGCAGACCTTTACATGCATTGCAGGGCACCCGTGTCGCTTCGACGGAGTCAGGGGTCAGGATCTGTCCTTTGCCGACCAGTATTTGATGCTGGACACTTGCAGTCGCAGTAGGCTCGCCTCGGATGTCCTCGATGCTCGCATGACATTTTCTGATGGCCGCCACGTGTGGCCAGCGTGAAGGGTTGATCCGCGGATTTTCCAGTTCTGGACTCATGCTGCCAGATGCACCGGTCAATTCGACTTTCCGTTGGCTCTTGACATCCACATTTGCGCAAGGGGGCCAATATCGTTTGTGCTGGTGTGCTGATGGCCAGGTGTGTTCAACCATGGAGCACTTCACAGTTGATGTGGGTGCCTTCTCTCTTCTGGGGCCTATGCCGATCCAGCAAGCATTCACGTGCGTGGCTGGCCGTGAGTGTAACATCGACCCCATCACGGGCTTTCACTTGGACGAGAACTGGTTGTGTTGGAGACCTGTGTGGCCCTGGCTTCTGGCGGTGCAGCCACCTGGGGTCCTTTGCCTCTGACCGCTGCAGGGGGGCAGTACCGCCTGTGCTGGTGCGCAGACCTCGTCATGAAACCGATCAACGAGTCAAACCACACTTCAAGAGGCTGCGGCATCTTTTCAGACTATACTTACGACATCGGCAGCCTCAGCATACTTGGGCCCATGCCACCTGTGCAGAGCCGGACATGTGTTAGTGGCCACAACTGCCAGCTTGATGGCTTCACTGGGCACGGCCTCAGCAACCTGGACAAACTTCTAGTTTTGGACACTTGCGGTGAACCCACCGCCATGGTGCCAAGATGGAGCTTGGCCGGTGGCAGTGTCGAGACGACCAGCAATGGCACAGCTGTCTCATGGCAAGCCATCGTGAGTGCTGCTGGTGGACAGTACCGCTTGTGCTGGTGTGCGGCCATGCCCGTCAATGAAACACTCGCAGGCCAGTTTTGCACACATGCTGGCGATTTTTACCGTGGACATGGGTGCCATGTGGCTCCTTGGTCCGATGCCGTTGTTGCAAGACCGGACGTGCATCAGCGGGCAGACTTGCTCATCAAGCGGCATGGTGGCTACGACAGGGGGTGGCGTGTTTGTATCTGGTCGAATCCACGTGCTTGACACATGTGGACAGGTGGGATTCTTGGAAAGGTTTCCCGCGGGTGGACTCAGTGGTGAGGTGCGGCATGTGGAAGGCATCGTGACCGCACCCCTTGCTGGAGATCTGCTAGACGTTCGTGGCATGTCCGTTGTAAGCTGGACCTCTGAAGCCTTGACAGTTTCAGCAGGCCAATATCGTCTGTGCTGGTGTGCCCTCCTTCCGGGTCCAACGAACATCTCGAGCTGCATCTTGACCTCCGAATTCAGTGTTGACTTCGGAGCGCTAGACTTGTACGGCCCACTCCCCGGCCATCGCCGCACATGTGTCTGCGGATACACCTGCTCATTCGGGTATTGCCGGCTATGGCCTGAGCCAGAACGACACAATCCTTGTGATGGAGACTTGTGGCTCCAGTGATGTCGTAGCCCGCTTTCCTTGGAGTGGCTTTGTTGACCAGATCTCTGCAAGTGGGTCTCGCATGAGCTGGGGGGAGACAGCTATCGCCTCTGCTGGTGTAGTCAGAGTGGTTCGTGCAGGAGACCCGAAAGCTTCCCTTTTGACTTTGGTGAACTCCTGCTGGTTGGGCCTGTGCGGGTGGATCACACCTGTGTCGCCGGTCAGACCTGTTATCTTGACGGCCTGCCCCGTACCTGGTCCGAGGTACCTCCAAGTGTCATCACTGCAAGTCCTGTTCTGTCGGCACAGGGCCAAGCGAACTGGGGCGGAAGCCCTCTGACCTCAGCTGACCTTCGGGCTGGCATCTACCAGCTGTGCTGGTGTGCTCCACTGCCTCCTTTACCCTTTGCAAATTCTACCCATTCGAATCGCACCGAGGGTAATATGACAGGCCCGTGTCGCTTGTCTTTGCAGCACCAGGTTACCGTTGGCACGCTGATGATGATTGGTGCCAGCGCAGAGCAGCAAAGAACTTGTGTGAGTGGGTTAACTTGCGTGATTGATAGCATTGAGGGTTACCATCTATCAATGTATGACAAGGTGCTTATCATGGAAACCTGCGGCACTCAAGTACCGACTGGCTTTTCTTGGACAGCACAAGCCAGCAATGGGGTGCCGTCCAGATCACACCGCAAGGAGGCTCCTATCGCTTGTGCTGGTGTGGGTGCATCCGTGGCTTGTAGCCAGGTACGGGAGTTTAGGGCGGACCTTGGACCTGCGCCCTTCACGCAGCATCAGACGTGAGTCGGGGCACCTCTGCCGCCTCTCCGCTGGCATCGAGCATGCGAACAGCAGTGACAGCGTTGGGCTGCGCTACGAGGTGTTGGCAATGGACACTTGCGGTGGAGTCTCCGTTCCTGGAGGCTTTCCGCTGCAGTGGAGCAGTAACAGCAGCTGGAATGCAACAGCTCGAAGTCTCCTGAGTGCATCGATGCAGGAGCTCACAACAGCTCCTGGCGGCACATATCGCCTTTGCTGGTGCGGCATACCTGAAACCGCCTCAGGCTGTAGATTGCCGGCAGACTTCCGGGTTCATGTCGGAGAGTTGACTCTGATTGGTCCTCGGCCTAGCTCCCACACATGCATCAGCGGTCGCCTTTGCAGTCTTGAAGACCTGCAGGGTTTGCACCTCAGTGGCTCCAATATGTACATGGTCTTGGACACATGTGGTGAAGCTGTGTGGGCTTGGCCCGAGGGTTATGCTGGATTGGTCCAACCTGGCATCGCAATCCCGGAGGAGACCGCCACATTGGCTGGGCAGTGCCAGCTTTGTTGGTGTGCCAGTTTGGACGTCGTGCATGCGAACGGGACTGAGAATCCCAACGCGAGCTTCCCATGCCGACGAGCAGAGGACTGCGCCTCTTCCTCTGGCACGTTCACCATCCTTGGTCGGACTCTGACCGCCTGCTGCTAGCAGAAACTTGCGGAGCGTTCCGGAGCAAGAGAAGGCAGCCTTTTGCCATGATACCAGAGGTCCACAGATCCGCCCCAGGCGTCCTGTCCATCAGCTGGGGCACCGCAGCCCTTTGCTGGTCAGCGATGCATCCCGTTTCGTCTCCACAGCGGGCAGCCTGTACTTGCGAGGCCCTGCACCCCTGCAGCAGCCGTTCACATGCCTTGCAGGTCAAAGATGCTCCTTGGAGAATTTGTCCGGCTGTGGCATGTCTGACGCTGGAGTCTTGCTTGTCATGGATACTTGTGGAATCGCTTCCACGACGTTGCAGTTTGCACCGGGCGGGCCGGAGGGCCTTCTCAGTGACTATGTCCTTCTCACAGATGCAAGCTATCGGCTCTGTTGGTTTGCGCTTCTTGGGAGCTCTAATAGCTCTGGTTGTGACTTGCCTGCGTCTTTCTTGACTGATGCTGGCACTATGCACATTATTGGTCCAGCGCCATTGCAGCAACAGTACACCTGCGTCAGTGGCCAGACCTGCACACTGTAGGGTCTTCCGCCCTGCAGCAAAGTGATTCCGTCGCAGTTCTGGACACATGTGGAAGCCTTGATGCGTGGCCGCTGAATCTTGTTAAGGTGTTGGACTTGCAGCCCGACGGCTTGACTGTCAGCTGGCGGGAAGATGCCCTCTCCACACCGGGGGGGCAATACAGACTCTGCTGGTGTGCCACCGGTGCACGGTGCCAAGATGCAAGCTCTCTGCGAGTAGATTTCGGAAGTCTGACATTGATCGGACCAGAGCAACTGTTCATGGACCGCACATGCATCAGTGGCCGAACATGTTCGTTCGACGAGCTAATAAGTGGCTCAAGGCTTCTCGTTCTTGATACCTGCGGCTTGCCATCGGTGGGCAAGAGATGGGATGGAACCCCAACAAGAATGCCACATTTCATGAGCACATGGAAGTCGAGGGCGAGTGAGTGACTTGGGGCAACCTGCAGTTCAGCGCGGCTGGCGGAGCTTTTCGTCTGTGTTGGTGCGCAGGCAACAGCACATGCTTCGTACCCGAGGACTTTCGGCTGGACATCGGACAGCTCCTGTTGATTGGTCCAAGCTTTGGGCACATGCAGTCCTGTATTTCGGGGCAGGCTTGTTCCATATCTCGTGTCAAAGGGTGGCAACTGTCCGATTCCGACAGGATCATGGTTCTGGACACGTGCGCGCAACCTGGAAACGCGACACAGATTCCTTCGACTATTGTAGGCTTTGCAGCCGATGGTATGAGTTTGTCTGTCTGCTGTCCAAGAAGTCAATCTGACGGATGAACTGCGCGGCTCCACTTACGGTCCACTGATGAACTTTGAACTGGCTGGATACATCAGTGCGCAGGGTGCCAGGTATCGGCTTTGCTGGTGTGGAGCACAGGCGGCCTGCTCTTCATCCGAGGACTTTTACGTGGACTTCGGGGAGCTCCAACTCCTGGGACCTTCGCTTGGGCAGAGCCAGACTTGCGTCAGTGGACAAGCTTCCTCAAGAATCTCCTTGGTCACCACGTGCCAGACGGTGAAGTGGCGATTTTCGACACTTGCGGCGTCCGCGGTGTGGGATTGGAGGGTGCCGGCCTCAGCAAGTCAGTTGTAGGTCCTAGGTCCTAGATGATGTCCTGCCAAGCCTTGTGGTATCTTCGCTCCGCAGTGCAGACTGATTGCCAAGGTGTACACATCTCGCAAGCTCTTGCTTCAGCACCAGCACATGGTTCTGGCGTCTTGCTGTCAACATTGACTGCCAGCAGAGGTGCCATCACTGATGTGTCATGCGCATCCAGCAGTTCGAACCTGTTCCTGTCACCCGCAGGAAACTACTGGCTGTGTTGGTGCGCAGGCTGGGGGTGCCGGCTTGTGCTTGCTTTCTCATGCGGAGCCTCCGATCTGCGAGGGGATATCTGCTCCAGTGCAGATGAGTTCATTGGCCCGGCCCTCAGTGTTCATCTATTCCTGAGTTCTCTGCGGCAACGGCCGCTTCACGTTGCAGGGCCCGGCACCGCTCCAGCAAGGCCGAACTTGCATCGCGGGTCAAGAATGCCAAGTGGATGCCTTGACAGGCCCGCCCGGTGAGTTTGGGCCGTTTCGTTGAAAGGAACTTAGCTTCATCATGTGTATCTGGACACCTGTTTCGCCCTCAGTAGCAAACAGCACAGTGGCTGGATGGTGTTGTGACTTTGCATGTGATCAAGGTGGCCGCAGCTTGGTGCTCTTTTTGGATCCTGTCAATGAGGTGGGCTCAGCAAGATGTCAAGTGCAGCTTGGGGGAGCAGCCACAGCAGAGTGAAGAACCTGCTGTGCCTGAAAGGTTACGAACGCATCAGATGGCGGAGTAGTTTTTGCTCCAGACGGTGCACGAACGAGTTATACAGCTGCAAAGTTTGTGCACGACACATCATGCAGCTGACGTTGAGCAGTCTGCAGCAAAGGCTCTTTTGGAGAGCTGGTCTTTGCTGAAGGGGGTTGCTTAGCTGCAGAAGGTAGAGTCTGCCACAGCGCAAGGCTTCGCCAGACCCTGGCAGGCCTTGCAGTCCGAGGCAGTACCGATTGTGTTGGTGTGGGCACGCTCCCCAAGTTTCAACAGCTCCTCGGCAGAGCATGCTTTACAGTCCATGGCAGCACTTCAGATGCATTGCTCGAGGCACAAGCAGCTGGAGCAATCGAAGCAACGAAAGCCTGGGCACCCCAGCGTCTCTTGGTCTCGGAGCCTGCGCACTTTCCCACGAGCCTCTCGGACCTGTGTTGTGGGGATGAATTTCGGGTTTACTCTTCTAGATTTGACCCGTCAATCCCCCTGTCGGTCTCAGCCCCGGTGGTTGGGGAGTGTCCTGGACGGCTTCAACTAATCCCAGTCGCCCCAAACTGCGAGTTGGAGAACCAAGCCAAGCGTCGCGAATGACCCGCCGTGCAAGCCAGGCGGCCGGCCTGAACCCAAACCGCCGAAGCGCCTCAAGGGTAAAGAGGACACCCCGCTCGAACTACATTACTGAATGCTCTGCAAACCCGGATTCAGGAAGCTGCAGGAGCCGGTTCGTAAGTTGTCCACCAACCTTTTTAAAAATGGGTTCATTGGTCCGGCAAACTATCGCCTCGCGTCTGTTTGCCAAAGCCTGCCGCAAGCCAGGTCTCGTGAGATTTGGATCTGCAACAAGCTTCAGGTTTCATCGGTCATGCCGTTGGTTGCGTACGTGCGAGTCATCTTCGCAAAGCCGAGTCCTGAACATGAAAAGGGGAAGTGGCTCATCAGACTGCGCGGTGGACCATGCTTTTGATAGATCCGACGTACTAGGCCACGTTCGATCGTCGGCAATCGCGAGAACGCATCGAGAACAAAGGGAAACCTGCAAGGAGCCGTGGAAGTCTCCTTGCTCGTGCCAACTGCAGAACCGGAGCCTGAAGACAAAAATGATCAGACATGGCAACTAGGACAACACACCGTAAGAACTCCTGGCTAGGATGTTCCACTTTCAGTGCGACAAAATCGCCTGCCACAAAGTGCTCTCGTTCCAAGTTGCTGCGCAGGCAGCATATCACACAATGTGTAAGCTGTTCTTGATCAGCAAGCACTGCGAGACGTGACTGACGGAGCTCGATCGATTCTGTGGTGGATCGCCATGTAGCAGTCAGCACTGCACTTGCAGCCAAGCGTCGGAAGGCCGAGTGTGCGCTTGACTCGATCAGAGCAGCATAATTGGTTCAGGTCCTGCAAGTTGCGCATTCACCGGGCATGGACTCCGGAAGTTTCTGCACACTCGGGAATTTCGGGACAGCAGATTAAGCGCCAACATCTTGGAGACGTCCGAGCAATTTCCTCCGTGCTCAATGCTTCAATTGCCGGTGCGTCCGGTCGTTGAAGTTTGATTCGCATTTCAGCGAAAAGTTCTGTTTCTTTGAGTCATAGTGTCTTCGTCTTCATGCATGCGCTCTTCAACGTGACTCCAAACCATGTCTCGTGCACCGAGCCAGTAGCGAAAAACAAAAAGCACGCTGCTACCTGCCCAATGGTTGCTGGAGTAAGTCTGGGGTCCATTCGGAATGGCTGCGACACTAAGGTATTGCGTGGACGTTGGTTCCATGCTGGTTGTGGGTCCAAGCCCCCTTGAACAAGACAGGACTTGTATTGCAGGTAGAACTTGCAACGCAGAGCGGATTCGTGGGCAGAGCCTCCGTGCCTCTGACAGACTTCAGATTCTCGCGACTGGTGGTGGGACGGTGCCACTGCGCTTTCCGATGAACGGACTCATTCTACCCGACCTCAATGCGTCTCAGCCACCCAGTGGTATGGGACTTGGATCCGAGATCGTCTCCGCGCCGGGTGGCCTGTACAGGCTGTGCTGGTGCAGTGGCTTGAAGCCGTCTGGCTGCTTGCGTGGCACGGATTTCCAAACTGATCTGGGTGCCATGACCATATTGGGGGTCAGTCCCCTCCAGCAAGACCGAACGTGCATCAGCGGCAGAGTATGGGCTGTGGATTCTCTGCTGGGGCTTGAGTGAGTCTGACAGCTACATGATCTTGGACACCTGTGGTCAAGCTGTCACAACCGTCGGCATTGGTAAGGCAAGCTTCAGCTCACATCCGAGGATCAGCTGGGCGGATTCATTGTCGGCAGCTGGTGGCGAGTACCGATTGTGTTGGTGTTCTGGACTGCCGTCACCGTCGACGGATGACTTCAACACATCCAACACGTCCAGCATGACCGGAAACGTGTCCGTATGTTAGGTATCTTGGGACTTTGGCATCGATGCCGGCAAGCTTCTCTTGCTGGGGCCGGCACCTCTTTTCCACCGCAGCACGTGTGTGGCAGGCCAGACATGCGCCATCAATGTCGCTGGGACGGGACTATCATCTGCAGATCTGCTGTTGGTGCAAGATACCAGTGGTCAGCTGTTTGCATCGACTCCTTTCGCAAGCCCAGGCAGCTTGCGCCTGTCATCGTACAACAGCAGCAACATCAACGCCTCCTTTTTGGCCGCTCAGCTGTTAAGAGCATGATGTGCAGAGACACGGAACTGAATCGTCAGCTGGAAAAGCTAAGGATGCAACTCGATCAGCAACTGCTTATCTGGGCCGAAGTGTCACGGCCGGGGAATATGTGCCAGCACATGTCAAACATGTCGGACTGTCGTGTCGATCATTCTGACGTCGACTTCGGGGTGCTGCAGATCTTCGGCCCAACCCTGCAGGACCGTACATGCGTAATAAGCGGGATCGAGGGCACCGGTTTGGGCAGCGGTGATTCTTTGATGTTATTGGAGACTTGCTCTTCCGGAGCCATGCTGGATGGTCTTCCGGCAGTGCCCTCGTCAACTCTCTCAGGCTCGAGCTTCGACTGGACTGCCAACTTGACAGAGATTGTCATGAGCTCACCAGGTGGCTTGTACAGGCTCTGCTGGTGTATGCGCGGATATCCGTGTGATCTGATCGAGCATTTCGTCGTCGACATGGGTGCTCTGCATGTGATCGGTCCGGCCCCTTGACACAGCATCGAACGTGCTATAGCGGACAGTCATGCCTCCTGGATGGATTGGTACAGATCGGTAGCACGGATGTGGCCAAGATCTTGGATCCGCTCTCATCATGCCGCCTTCTGGACATGCTATCCCATCCAGTAGCGACACGTCTGGCAGAGCGGATCTCACCGGCCAAGTCCGTTTCGCTGCGGGCGGCCTGTACCGGCTGTGCTGGTGTGGCGAGCTGCTGCAGGATGCAAATGCCTCAGGTCTTCTGGGCAATGGTAGCCAGCAGTGCAGATCGGAGTGGACATGGGTGCCCTGACGATGCTGGGCCCGGCACCTCTGCAGCAAGACCGAACTTGCGTAGCGGGCGGAAGCTGCCTCCTTGGGGCTTCCTGGGAACCAGCATGGATGCAGGTTCCTTGCTGCTCCTAGACACCTGTGGGGTCGCTGCTTCGGCGGACTTCGGAGAACCAGGACGCCCGGGTCAGCCCAGGGGCCCTACCGTGGCAGCTCTGCTAGCGTCGGGTGCCGCTTTTCGCTGGGAGGCAGAAGTTCCTGCTGCCCCTTCTGGAGGAAGCTTCCGACTCTGTTGGTGTGTTGAGAAGCTGCCCCAAAACTTGACCAACTACACGAGCTGTGCCATTTCATCCGACTTCACTGTGGACATGGGGATGTTGCACGTCATGGGTCCTCTTGCAGGGGACACGCAGCAGCAATTCACATGCGTCGGCGGCCAGCGCTGCACTTTAAGTCCTATCAGGGGCTTGGATCTGCTGCCCGGAGATCGGGTCTTGGTCATGGACACCTGTGGCGTTCAGGAGATGCCGGCCGATGTATCCGGTACTTTCGGCGTCGGTGGTCTTCGTAATTCTGTGCTGGTGTGGGATGTTGAGGCGGCTCCCCTTCCCGGTGGGCAATATCGACTGTGTTGGTGTAGGAGCCAAAGCATGTCCACATCAAATCACACTTCCAAAGTACCTGCGGATAGCAAAACGGATGCTGGTGGAGTCAGTATATTATCCCCCGCATTGCATCAGCATCGAACGTGTGTCAGTGAACAAACTTGCTCCCTGGACGGAATCACTGGTAACTCCTTGTCCCCGGGCGATGCAATCACGGCCTCAGACACATGCGGAGCTCCCTCGGGTGTCATCAATATCCTGGCGACAGCAGCCGTTGTCTCACACAGTGGTGCTGCAGCTAGATGGGATGCAGCTGTGGTGACCGCGGCTGGTGGCATCTACCGACTGTGTTGGTGCGCCGGCCTGCGCGTTGAGGAAGGCTTTACCAACTCTTCGTCATGCCGAACTCCGGTGGGCTTCACCGTGGACTTTGGGGACCTGCATCTTATTGGGCCTAATCCGTTGGACGCCACTCGCACCTGCATTTCTGGACCATGTGTGACAGCGGCTTTGGAAGGCTTTCACCTGTCCGTTCACGACCGCTTCGTGATTCTGGACACCTGCGGTCAAAGGCTTGCCGTGGTTGCAGGCGCAGGCCTGGCGTTCTTGCAGGGTCAGCATGTGCAAGGCACCTTTGTTGGCATGGCCTGTTGATCCATCTCTTGGACCCTCCGCAGATTTCCCGCTATTCTGTGCCAGCAAGCACCTCTCGCTCTCTGTCGCTTGTTGCTCTCCGTTCATCTGAAGCGCTCGCGCTTAGCTCGTGCTTTCTCTCTGGACCTTCTCGCTCGAACGTTCGCCCAGCCTATCAGTTTCACTCGAATGAGCACGCTAAGCCGCTTGTAGGCTTCATTTGCGACTCTGTCTCGAGACACCGAGAGTTTACAGTAAGCTCGGACGTGTTCTGTGAGCTGGCAGCATTCTGACAGGCTTTGGAGCGCCACTTGGAGGTCAGGCAAGCAATGGCACCCTGGCTGGTGGGACTATCGAGTGGGACACGCGCGTCTCTGGCCCCTTGGCCGGCTTCATTTGTTCTAGCTGGATAGTGTAGTTGCTACTGGTACGCTGCAATAGTCTCGGTCTGTCGATGCTCCGTTGATTGCGGTGTCCAGGTGATGTGATGGGAGGCCAATACCGAACCTGCACATTATTGGGCCGTCTCCATTGCTAAGCACTCGCACCTGCATCAGCGGGCAAGCATGTGCAATTCACGGCTTGACGGGATCGGGGCCTATCATTTGACTCCCGGCGATCAACTTCTTTTGCTCGACACATGTGGAGCTTCGGGAGCCTTGCTTCAGCGGTCAGTGTCGCAGGCCAGCCTTGCAGGCTCAGCCCTTTGCTTGGTCATTTCCCGGCTATAGGAGACTACGTGGACTCGATTGCCATACTTGAGACCTGCGCAGTGGCGATGAGCCCAGGGCTTCGGGCATTGAGTCCAGGCGGCGTCAATGCATCGCAGTCCCCTTTAAGCGGGAAGAGCAGTCTGGTTGCCTGGGACCTGGTCGAAAATGCTTCGGAAGGCCGCGGCTCCAAGAAGGCGCTCTGTACCGTCTCTGCTGGTGCCTGGATGCACAAGGTTGCAGCCGTGTTGAGGACTACCGAACAGATGTTGGTGGCCTGTTGGTGGTTGGTCCAAGTCCACTGCTTCAGCTTCGAACTTGCATCAGTGGACACTCATGTGCTTTCGAGGGTGTGACGGGACTCGGTCTTTCTACATCTCCCGCATTCGGCTTTACCAGGACGGTGCGACATCCCACGACATTCGCGGCTGGGAACTCTACCACTCGGAGTCTCCGAACGGTCCCTGGATCAAGGCCTTCAAGGGAGCTGCAGCACCCGGTGTGGGTGAGCAGGAGTTTGGGGGCTGGTCGCCCTCAGCTAGCCCCTACTGGCGCTTGGTCGTGCTGCAGACCTACTCGGGCCAGGAGCCCCGACTACGTGAAGTCCAATTGAAAGGTCGTACGGCTAAGCTCCAGCCAGGTCGTCTCAGCTTCGGGACTTGTCCACTCTTCGGGAGGTGTCGATGGCAAGCTCGAGGACGACTCGCGTGCACTTCGAGCCGCTCGGGCCACAGCCTGGGATCAGGTGGAGCCGTGGCGAGCAGGCCTGGCATGCAGTTTGCCAGGCTTGGCGAAGGAGGTGGAGAAGGCCTGGAAGCAGGCGGTGGCCTGGCGCAAGCAGCAGGAGAAGGAGAGGGAGCGGGCCGAGCAGCCCCGAAAGCGTTGAAGCGGACGAAAAGCGGAGGAACTGAGTCAAGTTCTTTGTACTTGTCTTTCACAGCAGCCACATTTTGGGGCCAAGCTGCGATGTAAAGAGTGAATGACGCCAGTAAATCTTTGGACTGGGATCCTTCCTTTCACAGCTTATGTCTGATTTAGCTGTTTCCTAGCCGCGTTGTGAACGTCTGCAGGCCTTACCGTGCATGAAGCAGGCAAGGATGGATCCCATCACATCCCGCGCCGCATTCTAAGGCTTGTACTTCGAGTCGTAAAGTGGCTGTAGGCTGCAGTCGTACAGTGGATGTAGGCTGCACGGTTGCAAAGGGTCTGCACTAAGGACTCAGATGTGCTTTGGCGTTTATCACTATGAGGTCCACGGTTAGGGTTTCAACGTTGGGTTTGCAAGGGCTACAGCGTTCAGAGAATCATGTGACAAGTTGGACCCGTGCAGCAGAAAAAGCAATCTGAAGCTGTAGGATTGTTCGGATGAGCAAGACATGTTGGTGTTTTGCTACCGGCATTCAAGTGCCTTTGGTCATCATCAGACACATGCGCCTTGGCTGGACAAATTCGGGGAAGATATCTCACTTGTGGATCAAAATCTATCGAGTGTGCCAGGCACAGTGTAGCCGAATTGACAGGTATCGCTTGGTCTCTGCAGGAGCATATTAGACATCCTTTCAGCCACCATACGGAGGCTGCACAAGAACGTCACAAGAACGAGACATGGGGACATGGGGACGTGATCCGGATGGAGCAGCTTTCCGCTCCCCAAGGATGTGTTGTGCGACAATGATCATTTGAGTTTCAGCGGTCTTGCAAGCTCCCCCTTCCATTATTGCAATGCGAGCTGTGTGTGGGGCTTTCTCGCTGAGTCGGGGTTGCAGCCTGCTTCGGATTGTTAGGAGACGCCGGCCCCAATTGCAGCTGGAGGCAAGCAGAGTTGAAAGCAGCCCAAGTTGCCCATGGCAAATCCTTGAGGGGCGGCGTGATTGTGACCGTCGCAGATGTTGCACTCTCAGTGTGCATGAGGGCCGCTAGTTGAGGTCTGTGAGAAAAAACGCGCCTTGAGAAGTCCCAGGTGTCGGAGAATGGCGTGGTGACGACGAAGCGCATCGACTTGCGATCTGCCGATGACAGCTTGGAGCTTGAATTCAAAATCCTTCGAGTGGCTCGAAGCTTAAGCAAAGAACTGTGAATTGCTATGCTTTTCTCAGGATGTTTCGTGGGCCGGTCGCCCAAGTGTGAGATTGTCATCCAGAAAAAGGCGCAACGCAAATTCCTGGGAGCGGCGCCTCTCTCCTTCCGCTTGCAGGGCGTCTCACAAGTGCATTGCTCCTTGCGCTTGGACACCGATCGGCAACGCCAGCGTTCGAGCCTCCGATCTCTCAAAGCTAGTCAGAGCCCACCCCGAACTCTCGCCGTCGCGGCGCCTGCAGGCGGAGTCATCGTTACAGACACCTCCACGAACGGCACTGGCATCCAGGAGGGTGGGGAGTGTGAGTTTGAAGCTTAAGCCAAAATGTCCTTGGCGAGGCCGTGGATGGTCGTTGCATGCGACTTCGCAAAGGCAAGGCTTCAATCGCAAGACCGTTGAGTCGGTCTTTCCACTTAGCAATGTAAGGGCATATGACAGTATATGTATTGTATTTGGCATCAGGTGAAGAGGCTCCTGCGGTTGATGGTGCGGTCCTCATCATTCCCCTCAAGACACAGGCCTGCTTTCCCTTTTTATTGTGGTGCTCTAGCAAGTCTTCTCGTGCAGGTGCAGCACTGTGAGACACAAGCACGGCTCAAACTTGTGATCGGCCAACTCCCCTCCCGCAAACAGCGGTCGGGTAAGGGCGCCAAGAAGAGACGTAAACAAAAAGCAAGGACGAAGAAGAAAGAGGAAAGAACTCGACAAGCTGAAGAGGCCAGGGCTACGGAAAGGGAACAAAGTGCTGAGCAGCCGCACTCGTCCTCCTCTTCATCCTCTTGGTCCTCCAAGCCCTCACACTCGACCGAGGCGGGATTCAATGCATCACACAAAGAAGATCTGGTTTCGATGGCCAAGCGCATAACACATACCTGCGCGCTCCCGTTTGCAGGAGCTGCTTCGCCAGAAGGCCCTGAGCGTGCTGTGATAGATGGCGTGTTTTCGAAAGAGCCCCATTCACAAGCCGTGCTCAGGACGTACGAATCGGGGAGCTGGAGGAACAGGCTTCTCACCTGTAGAAAAAGGCGCTGCAGCTTTGTGCGCAGCTTGAAGGTGGCCAAAGAAAAGTTGAAGGCGGTCGAACAAAAGGCCCTACGAAAAAGAGCTTGTGGAGAGAAAAAGCGAACACCGCAGGCTCACATGTGCTAGAGCACTCTGTTATCAATTGGTGTCGTATTGTGCTCGCTTCGCAATGGGAGGGACCTGCCGGCAGAGTGCCGCTCAGCATTGCCTGCAACCCAGTTTGCAGCTTCAGGCCAACGCTAACTTCTCACAGCTCCCAGGATGAGCTTTGTCTTCTGCAAGAAAGCACGATCGCGTGGCTCCAAGTCTTCGGCGGCAGAACTGGTGATGTGGCGTGCTTTCGTGGTCGCTGTCAGGAGATGCTCAGGAAGGAGAAAGAAGAGGGTCTGGCGGGGGCATATGCAGATGCCATCAAGAGAAGGCAACTGATGCTGCTTCTACTGTGTCATTCTACTGTGTCACCTTTATGCCAACTGCTGTGCCAGCAAGCCCAGCCGCCAACCAGCCGCCAGACCGCAGCAGCAACACATATGGCGAGACCGGAGGCGACGGCTTGCGCTCAGCGTTTCTTGCGATAGTCGCGCAGCAGCTTTGCCTGGCGCAGGCGATGAGCGGTGGCTTCCCGGGCCAGGGTGACCAAGGTGTTCAAACTTTCCAGAGTTTTGTTGCAGGAAGCTTTGAATTTCAGACTTGAGGTCGCACTCTTCGCAGGAAGCTGATGCAGCTGCCCTTGCTTCCTGGTGCAGCCCCGGAAGACTTGCTGTGACGCTGACGAGTTCACGGCTTACAACGGTTACCCGCATGTGAGTGCACAGTCCAGGCAAAAGCCGTCGATCTGCGGTTGCGGCTTACAATAAGCAGCAGTCTCATTCAAGCCCATTTCCAGCCAGCCAAGACAGAAAGCCTGCCGGTTGAGCTGCGATGCAATCCGGGCAGCGAATCAGAGTGCCACGCATGGTCCTTGAACGGTGGCGATGTGCGCCGATGGCATGTCGATGTCTTGGTGTCGTTTGCAAAATGCCGGCAAGCACTGCGATTTCGTTGGGACGGGAGTCATTTGTTGAAGACTGTTTTGCGACTAGCAAAGCTTCATGCTGCCATCTATTCGCTCAGCAGGAACAGGTGGGTTGTTTTTTAGGACAGGTGTCAAGTTCAGATGGCGCCCTGGCTCACTTTGCTTCTGGTCAATGCTATCCGAGCAGAGCTTCACTTCCACTTAGGATGGACTTTGACGCTATCTGCAAGAAGACAAAGGTCGAGCTACCTGGTATCGGGATTCCAAGGCGCACCCAGGGCATTCACGGGGACTGTCAGTGAGCACCGCTGTGATGCTGTGAACAACAACATCGGTGGCAGTGTCTCTTCCATCCAGGCGGCTGCAGAGGATTTTGTGAAGAGACTGGTGTTTTCGATACTGAGGTTCGCTCCCTGTGCGCCTTGCTAGAAGCGATCTTGACAACAGGAGCAGGCAGTCAAAGCTGTGCAGGACGGCTTAGGTGCTGGCTCAGTCAGACGTGGGGTAGTCGTATATCAACTTCTTTGTGCGATGAGAGGGGCGAGCTCGCAACGATGCTTTCAAACTGCAAAGCTTGCAGCTAAACTCGCAGACAAGACGATGGGAGGTGTTGTTGGATGCATGCTGGTGGGCCATGGGTGATGACGGGTGCACAGCTATCTTCGGTCATGGTTATGCAGCAGCATTTGACGAACAGATTCTTCAGGAATGGAAGTTGCACAAGGTGCATGTCGAAGCTTGTCCCAAAAGCGAAGGCGCTTCATGGAGCCTGGGCATGAAATGCCATCCGCAGCTTCCGACAGCATGGCCTACACTTCGGCTTGATCCAGCAAATTCGTTTTCGAATACCAGTGCTGCACAGATGAAAGCACTGTAACTGTAACCATCATGATCACCAATCAGAAGCCTTTGAAGCCGTGCCGGCAAGGCCAGCGCCTTCGAGCCAGGTGTCCGAACAGGATCACCTTTTGCCTTGAGCTTTCAAAAAAAGGCAGTTGTAGTTTGCTTTCCAGTGCTTTGCGAAAGTTGCAGCGAGTGCTAGTGTCGCTGTTACCTGCCTCGATGCCTGCTGGGCACACAACTTTCTGTCTCCATTTTACCGTCAGCCATGCACCTTTGGTTTGCGCTTGTTGCAGCCGCTGATTGTTTCGTGGCTATCGCCGCAGCGGATGTCACAGCCTGTGCTGTGACAGGGTCGAGTGCTGCAGCACCGCGCCCAGAAATCCTCGGCCACAAAGGTATCTGAGGTTGTCCAGTACATCCCGGAGCTAAACAGGTCCAGAACCTCGCTCCCGTGGTGGGCCCTGCGAACTTCACCCCACATTGCACCTTGCCTTCTAAAGGTTAGAACGAGCTGCCATATCCTGTCAATACACATGAGTCTGCCCAAAGCCGCAAGATTTGTCAACGTGTCATAGAAGTCCAAGGCTGATCCGCAGTGCAGTCGAGCTTCCTTGCTGAGCCACGGTACGGTTGGGCAAGGAGGTTTGGAGACTGCCTCTGGCATTGAGTACATGCATGGTTCGCTTTCCCATTTGGGCTTCCAAGCGAGTTACGTCCCGCTGGTCTGCTCTTCGAACTATGCTCTGCTGAATGATTTCAGAGGGGGCAAGGTCTATCAGCAATGTTGTCCCGTCGGCAGCCTAGCCTGTGCTGACTGCGAACGCTACGACCATGCAACAGACTCATGCCTTCAGTGTGCCGCCGGCTTCCGCCCTTTTGCCCCGACCCAGTCAAGTCTTGCATCCAACCAACAGATCTGCCAGCTTTGTACCGATGTCCCGTGGGCCGATGCTCGCGGCTCCAGCTGTGCTGACTTTGAGAGTTCGGGAATGTGCCAGCTGGGCAGGGCCCATGATGTGAATCTCACCGTGAATCAGGGCCTGCTTGCGGCGGAGGCTTGCTGCGCTTGTGGGGGTGGGGTGCGGGGTGCTTCTTCCTTTGCATACGCCGCTCTTAACGTGCCCTGCGGCAAAACCAACGTGGACATGCTGCCCTTACCGCGCCTGGATGCTACCTACCTCACGGAGCAGTGCATGGTGCACCAACTGAACTTGACCATGGACGGGCGAACCGGCAAGGCGCGCTGCTAGTTAGCTGCTAGTAGCGGTGTGCAGGTTTGTGGATGCATCACAGGCCATGTCTGATCCTTGCAGGTATTCGGTGAGCTGCACTCGAGCCCCAGACCATCGCCTGCCAGATCACTGCTACCTCCGATTTAATCATACCGGAGACCTTCGCGAGCCTTCAGATTCGAGTGGTGCACTTCGCATACAGCGGCAGTGCCCTGACCCTTACCCATCCAAATCAGACCTTCGCTCCAGCGTTTCATGGATTCTGGGATCAGTTCAAGCTCCGCTGCACGCCAGACTTGCCCTGGGCACAGATTGACGGTCTGGGCACCATCTCGCAGAACGGCAAGCCACCCATCCTGGGCACTGCCGGCTGCACAGCATCTAGGCTACATCTGCCCATGGTGGAAGTTGCGTCATGTGTGTTTTGGGCTGCAAGCATGATCTGTGTTTGTCATGCTCAAAGGTCAGCGCCAAGGGGTGCTTGGAGGGTGAGTGGGGCAACTGCACCATGGTGACCCAAACCCTTAACAATTTCTATAAACCCTAAACCCTCAAGACGAAAATAAAATAGTAATTGTATGGTTTCGCGACCAGCTCGTTTTTCTTTCATCACTTTCAAAGCCTTTGACTAAACACTGCAGGCAGTCCAGCCAACCCAAGCCCAGCCCAGCACCCAGCCCCAGCTCCCAGCCCCCGCCTCCGCCCCAGCCGCCCCCAGCCCCAGCCCCCAGCCCGCCAGCAGCTCCTCGCCCCCTACCCCAGCCGCCAGCCCACAACCAGCCCAGCAGCCCAGCCCAGCCAGCCCAGCCCAGCCCGCCGGTATGGAAAGCTTTGTTCATGCCACAGCAGACCAAGGATTTCTACGAGCGCCGCCTGGCGGTCTACAGAGACCTGGTGGCTGCCAATGAGCCTTCTGAGCTCTTCCTGGTCTCAGAGGCCTCGCGCAAGTGGGTCAAGGTCAATGAGGTGAGCCTGTGGTTGGCCGATCCACGACGAGCTACCGCCTGTCCTCCGTTTTGAGCTCTCCACAAGAAGCCGAGATTGACCCGCCTGTGGCATACCACGTGGAGTGCGGCAACGGCACCTGCTTTGAGGCCCGGTGCGGCGTCTTGACCAAGGCTGGAGAGCTCAGAGAGCTCAGAGCAAGAACAAAGACTATTCAAAGCTATTTGCTTTCGTCTGCTTTTGGGAATGTGCTCAGCTCGCCCGCAGGACGGGCTGGACGTGTTCCACCTGACCAGCTTGGGGCAGCTTGCAGGTGCGGGGCACTGTCCAGCTCTTGTTGAGCTGCCTGCTGCAGCGGTGTCTGCAGGCGCACCGGCGGTGGAGTTGCTGAAGCACTGCCGGGCCTCGCAGCCTCGGTGCCAGCTTCGGCTTTTGCTGGGCCGATTTCCTGCTGGACGAGGGGTCGGCCGGACAGAGCCGCGAAGCCAGTGATACGAGTTGTTTCTGGTAGACTTAGGGCTTTGGAGAGCTTGGCTGGCAGAGTTCGAATGAAGCATCGGGCAGGATGACTTTGCTCCGCTGATTGCGCTCTCCCATCAAATGTCGAATGTCAGTGCTGCGAGCGATGCCAACGCCACGACGTCGAGCAGTGCCAGTGCAGTCGCACAGTGCCGTGCCCTGTGCCGCGCGGACAAGACCTGTGCAGCTGCGGGCTTGGACGTTGCAGGCAATTGCTACAAAGCGGTGCATACGGTGTCCACTACCTCAAACCTCACTTCCATTCACGTGAAGGTCACGGAATGTAACCCGTTTGAAGCAGTGCTTGATGGTGGCGGTCCCAGGCGAGGCATACCTGTCCGGCCAGTTTTGCCCGGTGGAGAACCGCATGCAGCAGCCCGTCTACAGCATGGACGGCGTGACCGACGATTCCACGTTGTATCTTCACAAGTTTGATCACCTCGCAGAAGCAGCTCCGGAGCAGTGTGGCAGTCCGCCCTGGCCTCAGCAACAAACCGCATGTGGCCTGTCTGCGGCCTGCATATCGACCATGGCGCCCTAGCTAACCGTACCAGCTACTGAGCTACAGAGTGCACAGAGACGCTAGTTCAATTCGCTTGCTTTGTGTAACAGTTTTCGGCCAAGTGTAGTTCCAAGGACTGGTCCATGTCACCCACGCTCGCATTGTGGAGGACTTAGCATGCTCGAGAGGAGAGCAGAAGCGCCAGACATAAGTCCAGGAGACAGCTTCCTTGCTTCTGTTGACTTGGGCATGTGGGCATGAACACCTGTCTCTGCCATTCTTGCAGTTCTAGTCGTGAAGTGAACATATCCATCCCGAGCATGTGCGTGCATGGCAGATCGGAACACCGGCGGTCGCTTTCTCGCGAGGGCACGCAGGGTCCAGTCTCCATGCACGCGTATGCTTCGGCTGCATAATCATTGTCATCACCACGCTTCGCAGGCTCCGAAATTGCTAGTGTTGGCTTGGACGGGTTGCGCCAGCAAGTTCATTTGCAGGCACCAGACTTTGAGATCGTTCATAGCAGCGTCCTGAGCAGCAAGATCTTCGGAGGTG